CTATAGTACCTAAAAGAAGACATAGATCAATGTTAAATAGTGCTTATTCTGAGAATAAAAAAGGAAAAAAACTGTTAATTGGAAGCACAGTTGCTTAGGACGTAACCTCAATGTAGCCTAACCAAGGAACCTGCAAAAGCTGAAATTTTCAGTAACCCAGGAAGGATTGTCCATGCTTTATTAAATTGAAAGAGCGGCAAAACTGAACGTAAACAAACTTAGGGAGTCATTCACTGATTATGAAGAGATTCTTGATAAGATGTATTCGAAAGCAGTTAATAAATCCTCCCTCAATCCTTCAATGTTGACGACTCAAAAAAATTGATCAAGTTTGCAGCATCATCGATAAAGCAAGCGCATGGAAAAAAACCAACCGATGGACTACCAAGAGAAACGTTAACACTCATTCAAAATATATCTTGATGTGTGGTTGCATAGCGACGCAGAAACACAATCAATAAGAACGAAGAGTCATCAACCTGTCGGACTGAGGAGCTGTTCCTCCTTGGCGATCTCCATTGCAGCGTCTCCACAGAGCGTGTGGACTGGAGCAGAACTTGTCGCTTGAAACTCCTTCGACGTTGGTGATTGAGACTGAGTGTTTCAAGTATTTATACACTTCTTGAAGCCTTATATTGTCAAAATATTCGGAGAAACGAATTACTTGACATTCTCAAATTCCACAGCGCCCGCACAAATGCGGGCAGGTTATGAGATTCTTCATTCATGGGACCATACTTTCCTGATAATGACTACTAACAATTTTCTTAGTGTTATAGGCGAGGTACCTTGCAATTGCTATAATTATCAACAAAAGAATTACGAGATTACAGATAACTGAGGTATAATTTTGTGCACCGTAACTTCCAGGACTGGCATGCACAAAATTTGACAAGGATTCTGCCAAGTACTTCTTAAGGATTTTGAAGTGCAATTTATATGACGAACATCGTCGAAGAGGTAGATTGAATATTGCTTGAATTTAAGAATTTATGCGAGCTGCACTAAGTACAGTCTATCCCGTGAAGCAAAATGATCTCCGACTGTTAAAGATTTCTGATAATGACCTTGCAGGTTCTTGCTCCAGTATAAAACTCATGTATTAAAAGACATCAGCGTTACATAAATATCGTAACAGTCACTTTCTGAGCTCATGAAGGTGGATCAAGTTTTGTTTAGCATACATGTCGCAACTCTCTACGATAAGGAACAGTATAAGCACTTTCGTTTCGAATTACCAGGTGCCGAGTTTTGACAGGAATGGCATCAGGCAGCAGTTCCTGGCAATCCCCCAATCGTGACTTGCAGAAACCATGTAACGATTGCTTCTGCACCGTAGGGTGCACATGGTGGACTCAGACAGCACCTAGCTTAACCGATTTCTGATGACATAAGCGGACTGCATGCATGTTGACTTCATGTGTTATGATATCAAGAAAGATGCTCTTGTTTCCTGACATCACTTACGCATGAATATAGTTTAGGCCACAACATATTCGGGTCTCGCCTTGTCCATATTCCAATTCCACAGACTCCAATTGTGGCGAACCAAGCTTCTTCGGTTCCATCAGAAACTGACAAGTCTTGTTTGATCCCTTTAAATCCGGCTCTTCGGGAGATCGTGCGATTTTAAAATGTGTCCAGAGTCAAAGTACGTTACCAATTCTGTCCATGAAGAAATAGAAAGTCGACCTCTTGCCAATCCTTGTCTTAAGGGGTTTTATTCTAAGATCATGGGAGAGATCATCTTGAAGGTCGAAAGGACCGACTTGTAGGCACCGTCACAAAATTGGCGTATCAATTCATCGAGCTAAGCAATCTCATTTGTGAAAAGCTTGATATAAGATTCTCAAATTTTTGCTAAACTTCTCGAAAATTATTCTGTAATCTAGAAGAGAGTGTTTAATTCTGGTGCACAACAAATGGACATCCCGCGAATAATGAACTTCCCCTCGTTCTTTCAAAACGAGCAACGACTTGATGCCCTTGTGTTCGTACAGAACATGGTTAATAATAGCTTGGTGGGTAGTTGTTTAGCAAAGAAAGCTGATGAGATCCGCCACGCCGGCATTCCGTCGCACACGCTGTTGCTGCTGAAATTAGCAAAATAACAGCAGTTCACGTAAAACTGCCTCTCCTGAACTTTCACCTCTGTCATTGCTGATTATGAAATATTCGAAAATTAGCACCATCTAGAAATCTCTGAGCATAATAAAGACCATAACAATCATCACTTCGGAATCCTGACGGTGAAAACTGTAGGCACGGAATGAGACAAATTCTACCCTTCTTTATATGCTGCTTTCTGTACACAGCAGATGACGTCAGAGCTTCATTGATACTGCCAACCAGCACGGAGATGCGAGAAAAGTTTATTTCAAGGACAATGAAGGTAAAATCCAAGTGATAGGCTGGGAAATCCTCAACGATTGTTCCGACTGATGGTAATCAACTGTTAAGGACCACGGCAGCAAAAAATCAATGAAGAGGCGAGAAATTCAACGCTGTGGCCACCGAATGAGTCCAATACGGATCGATATCCATCCAAAATTCTTCATGCAAAGTTGGATGCACGTAGAAATTCACCACAATAAAAAAATACGCCACGTTGCGAGAGCGAATAAGTGCCGGGTCTCTCTAGAGTCACCGCCAAGCAACACCCTGAGCCCTGAGTAGGGTCACCGCGGCCCATGAGACGTCATCCCCCCACCTACTCAATAGTAGGAGGGACAACCAACGCCAGAGAATTTCTGTGGAAGTGGGGCCACATCGGTGACCCATTCCCGTGACCCGGTGGTAGGACTCAGGTGCATGAAATTATAACCCCGCCTTTGCTGATAATTATCTGCGGGCTTTTCACATAATTGAAACTTAGGGCACCGCGGGCTTTTCACATAATTCAAACTTAGGGCACCGCGGGCTAGGCCATTGGTTAGCAGCCATAGGGTCATCATGTTCTAGAAAGTGCACAAGCTAAATCACCTCAAGGGAGAAGACTTACTAGGAATGCGAATATATTTTACGGTATTCTTGCTACATGCATAAATAAGTGAATACAATGTTCATTCCTTTTATTAGAACATTCAGTTCATTTTGGAGGATATTCTCCTGTTGTGAGAATACCACCAATCTAATTATTTTGAGAACGAAAATTAGGGGGTTTTGTGAGAGTGCAGAACTATATAATAAAAGAATGATGGGAGATAATAGGCACTTTGTATAAACTTAGCAAACCCAATTGTTGAATTGTTTGTTGAATATCAAGTGTCAAGCCAATAATAAACCAACAAGAATAATAAATTTATTTACACAGAAAAAATTCCTTTAATAAATAATACGAATAGATGTCTTTGATGTTAGTTATTTTAAAACAAAAACATTCTTGGCGAAATTTTCTGAACACTACCGAAAATATTTTACTGGTTATCAATAGAAAATATTGTACAACACATAAAATTGTTTCAATCTTACATTGAATCAAAAATGTAATTTTCTAATATTGAATATATTGTGATTTATTGAAACAGAATAGGCAGTTGGAGTTTGCAACTGATCATTTCGATTAATATCTATACAATACGTAGATAAGAAAATAATAATAATTTATTCTAATATTTTTGTAATATTAATTGGAACACTGGTTAATATTAATTTTGTAAATGATCAAAAATCATTACAAAATTTGTTTAATTTTTTATTATATCTCTTTATATGTGTGTGTATATATATATATATATATATACTCACACACACGCACATCAATATCAGTTTTTTTTTTGTTGATTTTTTCCTTGAATATCAAGATTAAACTATAAAAATATTTTGAATGCTCCATTGATTGAACTTTGTATTTTATGCATGTCTATATTGGATATGTGTCATTGTCTTCCTTGACCATTATGATTACTTAGTTATGCATAAATATCATCATAAAAACAAAAATAATTATGAAATACAAAACACTACAAGAGTAATTTTTTTATGAATCATATAAATCTTAAATTGAAATTTCAGAAAAAATTAAAGCTGTGAAATTGAAATTCTAAATTTACAATTTTTCTATAATTAGTGAAATTCTTTAAAAAACTCTTATGATTTAGTTGCACTTTTAACTAGTTACAAGAACCTTAAATATATCTTAAATTGATTCATAAGTTGAAAAAATCTAAGATTTTCAAAATTATACTTTAAAATAATATATTAAAAAAGGTACCACCACTACAATAAAATTTATTATTATTATTATTATTATTATTTATGTTATTTTTAAATTTTTAACTTATGTAAAAAATAATTTTATTTTTTATAAAAACTAATTAGAAAATTAGTAAAAATATATTTATATATTTTTTAAAATACTAAAATATAAAATATAAAAATATAAATATAAATATATTAAAAAATAAATTATATATTTTTATTTAACATTTATAAAAGATGTTGGTGGTATATATTGGATAGGAGGTTGTGGAAGTAGTAGTAAAAATTGTGGTGGTGTCAGCAATATCTTTTTTAATAATTAGTATAAATAAAGGTAGAAACAAGAATATTTTTAGATATATTATTATATTTTTTATACTACAAATTTGGTTTAAGATTTATGATTTTTTTTATTTTTTAATTCATTTTGAAATAGACATTTAAAAACTTTACATCATAAATATATTTATCATCTTTTTTCTACTATTTTTGTTGTAGTTGGATGTATTTTTTTTTTTGAAGTCTTTGAATATTATTGTCATCTTTTTGAAAGAGTGTGATATTAATATTAAAAAATAAAAAATCATAAAATAATATCATAAAGTATAAAAAAAATGATATGTTGGTTAGACATTAAATTTTCTCATGTTGGTTTATACAGAACTAATAACACGTGAAAATAAGTCAAATTTGATGATAAATAAAATCTTAGTATTTATTTTTATCTTTAGTGTATTTTTTTTTTAAATCATAAATTTTTTAGCCATCAAATATAATACATCTCTATTGTAGACTTATGCTTGAAGTTTTCAATAAGTATTAATTATAAGACTCATGCTACAAGCACATCCCAAATTGCAAATCGCACACCCAAGGCCACTAATTGGCTGCTCTGTGACCTCTTTTTAATTCTAGCACAAGTCCTAAATCTCCTCCTCCACTTCCCAATCCCACTTTCCAATCTTGGCACCATTCCCAATTGCCATCCCTATTCCTAACTCTTGTCCCCCAATCTTGATGAAAGTTTCAATCATGTCCCCCTAATCTTTTTGCAATTGCTGATCATTTTAGCAAACCAACCAATTAGAAGCATCTATTTTTTTGAGTGTGTATGTAGCACTTTCAGGTGTGCTTGTAGCCTGAACCTAGTTATAAAGCTCCCATTGAACAACATTTTCCAAAACTGCAGGTTCAGTTATGCTCCTGAATCTTTGTGCTTAACCATGTTCAACCTACCACAACATTAGTGACCAAGCATACTCATGCATTATTTTTCTGAAGCGACTATCTAAAAGCATGCAACTTTGTACATTGATATTCTAGTCAAGAATAAAAATTGCAGTGTTGGCTAAACTACACTGAAGGTTTGCAATTGATTATAATCAGTACCATAACCAATCTACTTGGAACTAGTTTCATCTTCATCACTAAACAACAGCCTCAGGTCCTATCACTTGAGATTGAATACCTGGCTTCAATGGTGTCCTTCACAGCACTATGAAAACAGTAATCCAGATTGTCCCAACAATTGTTTTATATCAGCCTCTACATCAGTCACTGCCATAACGTTCCAGCTGCTCATCTGCTCAGCATCCACCATGCACATGACAATCATAACAGATTTAACGTCACTGTCCCATTTAAAATGTTAACCAAATAAATTTACCAGTATTCAAATTGTGTACAAAGGAATGGAATATTTGACACCACACAAGGCATTTTAAACTTATTTGAACTCTTGAATCTCTATCAATGTGAGGTGATAAGGGAGCTTTACCTTGACGACAAAGGAGCAGGTAACCTTTGTGGGTGTGATAACCACAATGTTGGTGTGCACAATTTCAATTACAAATGCCTCAATGGCTTGACTGAGTTGCACAAGGACACCTGGCTGTTGCTTGCAGGTGAAGTTCAGCTTGTATAACCCGTGTTCCAGTTTAGTGACATCCAACTGGGCCTGCAAAAATACCCATCCGAGTAAATGAGGACATAGGGAATGAGTACAAGGTGAGGCCTCTTTTGCTCATGAGAAGAACTCTCTCCTTCATTATGGTTTCAACCAAACACCAGAAATATGCGCAGTAACATGCAGGGGCATTTATCCCTGATAATTGCACGTGATACTTCTTTGTTCAAGAAAGACGGGTTGGCCCGGAGACTTGCTTGTGCTTGATATTACCTTCTGAGCATGACTACAAGGGTTTGCAGGTCGGTTGTTGCGTCAACGTTGAATAGAAAAGGCATAAAACTCATGCGATAAGACTCTCATGTCTCCACACATCGCCACGCTCTCGAACTATCTGGCTTCATAAATTTCAGCCTAAGTTCCTATCTTATGCTCCAATTCTATGTACTCTCATACTCACCAGGAACGTGTGGCTCACTTGGTGCATAGCCCAATCTTGGCTTGAACTATTCGATTGATAATCACAACGTGCTGAACAAGATGCGTCTTCTGATGCATGATATTGGTTGTGTCCTTCATCATCAGCTTCACTGACTTCCAAGTTGCTGCCAGAACTCTTGGAGCATTCTGCAGTTGCCTGGTCGATGGATCCGTCCTCAACAGTGGTGCTCAAATTCTCTAGCATCTCTACCTTCTGCTTGAGATCTTGTACGTGTTCAATTGCGTCTGAAAGTATCGATACTTTGTCCATCTGCAACAAACCACCATCAGCATACAACATTTTTACTCGCACACCATCCTAGCGAAATTCTTAACCTGTATTATTGAGCAGGAAAACAAAGATTGAGAGTTCATTATCTCTCAAACAAAGATCGTGGTCACTAGGAAGTACGTGCTGATCGGACTGGCTAAACGACGTAAGCACCCTGCGTCACGAATTGAATTGTGTTTTAGCGCTGACACACAAGAATGATTAAACTAGCAATCACTTGTCTCAAGGGATTCTATTTGCGAATCATGTTGCACCTGAATTACTTCATGGGCACCAAGAGCGGGTTTGAGAAGCAACCATTGGTAGCCAAACCCCTAACAACTGGATACAAATTGACTTCAAAGTGTCAGTATTCATGTCTTTTGCAATCAAGTCGAATAGTGAATATCACCTTGGTAATCTTCGGCACCAAGGCCCTTAAGTCTAGAAGACTCTTTTGAAGTTTTTCTCTCCTCTTCCGTTCTGATATGAGGTTCTTGGATGCGACCCAACCTTCAGGAAACTTGCGTCTACCCCTTTTCTTTTCAGGTTCCGAGTTCATTTCAGTATCCAAATCCGGGGATGCACCATTAAGCTGAGATGCTGTAACACTGGGATTTCTATTAATTGATGTAAAATCGCTGTGATGTGAAGGCAAAGCTTCAGGAATTTCATCAAAGTAAATTCCGTTGTAACCAGACTGAATCTCTCCAACTTGTCCACTGTCATGTCGTGAGGCAGTACCTGTCCCAATCGCGTCCAAACGTTCATAATGGACTACAGATAATGGATCATGAAGTCCAGTGCGTTCCAGCTGCTCCCATGCTGCTTGCAGACCTGCTGATAAGGTACGAGGCATGCCGTTACATTTATCAAATTCCTCGGACTTTGCAGAACCTGTAACTTGATAGGAGTTCCACATGTCAAGTTTTCGCGGATTATGAGCCATGTATGAGGTATGAAAATCTGGATCCGTATTCTCTTTCCAATTGATGCTCACTGTTGGCGGAACTTTGTCTGCTTCCCGTGCCTCCTGACAATATGTGCGAACAAGGGACTTGGGTTCACTAAAAACCACTTTATTGGCCTCCAGTCTGCAGTGAAAGAGGCTGAACCGTAAGTTGCACATTACTTAGTTCCGTTGAGACGTATACATGTCAGCATCTTCAGAACTGAGGAGCTCAAAAACAGCCAATTTTGGTTTAAGACGAATCTGCGATTGAGCACAACAAATCACAACAACATGAAGTTCCTCAACGAAGAAAGCATATACCAAAACCTTTGCCGCAATGAAGATGGTCAACATGCCAGCGCAAACCATACCTAAGCCTGCAGTGTATCAATTCTAGCTAAAAAACTTCTAATTCTAATTGAAGAATCGTGCGACCTACTGAACTTGGTAGAACATATACTCTAAAATACGAAGACCTTCTAAACGAGAGTCGATTCCTGTATACCTCACTGCCTCAGAAACTACGAACACACTGTCATTTGAATGCATTTGAGCAATCATCATTAACCTGAAACCATTGAGCAGAAATCTTATCGAGGGCAGTACTATCTAGTTCTAAAAGAAGGAGCTGCAACCCGCATTTTCATACGCACAGAAAATCGAACTCAATGATATACCAAGAATCGGTGGCTGATTTAACAAGGTCGTAATCCTTTCCTACTCGTGGAGATCCAGCACGAACGTGCTCAACAGAATAGCCAGAAGAGATTATTTTCAAACCTGAGCTTCGAATTCTCCGAGAACCAGCACGAAGACTATATTCTCCTAGTATCCACGCAATAACCGGGGCTGTGATCCGCCAGTTCTAAATACATCTTTCACAAGGACGAACTCGAAAAGAGTTGGCAGCTACACGCGGGCTACACACCTTCCTTTGCAAATTAACGTCCCTGCAGTTGTGACGGAATGGCGAGGCGCCAATGTTCTACTAGTATATGCGCAACGGGCACAAGCTGCACACGTGTAGAAGTTATTTTATGCCAAAACTAGCAGATGGCCGTGTCGCATACCGCGTCTGTCTTCTGGACTGACCTACTTAAAGGCAGCTCCCCACAGTACATGAAGACCTCATCGACAGAACTACGTCTTGCTAGGGTTACAAGCAACCACGAGTCCATCCCAGGCACCGATACCCCCTCGCCTTCCTCGATGTCGCGGGTTGTGGAATCCTCTACCGACAATTTGTGCTTGGACAACATGTGTCCAGTAGGGTGTCTGGGGCCTTAACCGCGATCAAAATAAGAAACCTCTCCACATGCAGACCAAGGGGAGACAGATAACTGTAAACGGCAAGAACACGCGGTGGTCGGGAGTCCTGTAGCCTGAGACGCTAATACTGTCGAGTTGTGACACGCTTCTAAGAACTTGGTTGCCAAGGAAAGGACCAAATGCAGGACCCTGGCGTCCAACCTAGAAACAAACTAGACCACGCGCGACTGATTTATCCTCTGGCGTATATCCTATAAATCCATCGTGTTTCTGAAAGAGGCAGGAAGTTTCAAGCCACATGCGAACCCTCTTGACCTCCAAAATCATGGAGAGCTGCAAACACCCACAAGGATGCTGCTCCACAGACATAAGTACAGTAATAACTTTTTATGGGATAATACGATAACAATTTTTCCTCTCTTACAGGGGTGGCAGTTGGGCACTCCCATCGCATCGAAAGAAAAGGGAAGGACTTTTCTGAGGGAGGTAGGGAGGGAGGGAGAGAGAGAGGAGGGGAGAGGGGGTATACATCTTAACAATTCTCAACCATTTTCGGAATATTTTTTTCCCGATGGACTGAATCTCTGAAAAAAATAGATTATTATATTGTTGAGGACGCAAGTCGATGCTTTAGCTAGAAGTTCTTTAGCTAAAGCACACTGTTATGCTGGCACGTCTCTAGACCAAAAGTGATCAGCATGTTGGTATGCCCACATCATGGGTAACGTCAAAGAACACGATGAGGTGCACATAGATACTACCGTGAACTCGAAAGACAAAAGGGTCTTGATAAGAACTTCCTAATAGCTTAGACATTGATTCTTTACAGTCAGCCTCGAACACTTGAAAGGTTTTAGAAGTGATATTCTGATCGACCTACCGGAATTGGGAGTCTGACTCTAGCTCTGCCGATCATTTAAGGTGTAAGAGCCTGAATCAAAGAACGAGTTATTCTTTGCACCCAGTTGCTTTGCAAAATTGGTTGAAATGGTATTCTGCAATAGGACTAAAGAATAGCCGGAGAACTGGAGGTGCCCCTTTACGAAGAGATAAACATTCCTGTTTAGAAATTCTTAACCGATACACATGTTACAATTCAATCTGTCGAAACTTTTGATCAGCCTAATGTACCACAATTTGGAACAAAGGGAGCTGACACATCATGTGCGACTTGAGCACTTGTGGAACTGGATAAGAAAGCTGCATTGGGCACTGAAGTGCTCGCAGGAAACTTTAATCTCGATATTATGCTGTACCACCAGGGAACTAATTTTCACTTGTCCAGTTGTTTGCCATCAGACCATGCTACTGTCACCTATTCAGCTAGCACACGCAGTAGTTTCCGCGCTTGCCTGGGATCCCCTCACACTCAAAGCACTCAACTCGAACAAGATCATGTTGAGGATACCAACCGATTTTAACTACCAATCGAACAAGCACCCAACAAATTCTCGGAGCATTCAGCAAATCAATTGGACTGACACAACCGAACCTTGACATAAACGGCAGTCCGTAGGTGGTTCTGCTTGGTATCTGAAGCATTGTACCTCGTTTGTGGACCACAGAGCTTTCCAGACTAAAATCTTAATACCTATCCATAAATTGAGATCAACGACAGTGAGCTATCAACAAGTACCACAATGCACACCATCTTCTAACATCAAGTTGACATGTTGGAGACCTCCAGGCTTTTCTAAGTGATATCAGAATATCCTTGCGACCATAAATATCAGGTTTTAAATAATCAGACAGTGAAAAGAACTCTCAGTTCCGTGCATGCAATTTCATCGTGTTATGACAAGAGCTGATTGAACTGAGGAACGCATCAAACGTTTAAAAAGTGTTTAAAAATACTTGATCCACTTCGGCAATTCATGTTAAAAATTAGTCATTCTGGCTCTCTTCATGACATGCATAACTGGAAAGTAGCGACAAATGATGATTGCATGCACCTGATTGCTAGGAATATGACGTCGTCGTGCCACAAGTGCAAATCTCTTTTAACAGCAATTCCAATTGTGAATCATGTTGCCTCTCCCCTCAGGTACTACGGCTGAATCAAGCGCTTCTTGAGCTGAAGGCGCCACTCACATTATTTTTGAGGCTGATGAAGGAGCTCAATAATCATCTGCGCAAGGACAGTACGTTATTGTCCAACATGTTCTTGAAACCCTAGAATGGAAGAATGCGTTCAGTAAAGAATATAAACTATTTGACGTCTCTTCTTGGCATTGATCATCTGGTTAGATACTACTGAGAGAATATATGTCATGACATTATCGCGACTGCAAAGGAGACAATCAATACATGCTCTCCAGTACTTCAAATTGAAAACACTAAAGCTATTCCAACTAATTAGACGACCAAAAGATTCCTATTCAGTCTCAAAGACCTATACTGCAAAACTTGGTGCTGTTCAAAATCCACTTTTCTGAGCTCGTCGCTTAAGGATCTTCAAACTTACACAAATGCCTACATCAAGCGCAAATTACTTTACTAAATGGTTACAAGGCAGTACATCACAGGGGTACTTCAATGAGTTGCAAGTCATTAACGTTGCGAATCGCAAGATTTTCCTAGTCTGGCGACGATCAAAGGTGCCCAAGTACCAATTGAACACATCAACGGAGCTTCAACTAGCCGCGTGCTGCAAATACACCTTGAAGACGTTCGAAAATATAAAATAAGCGCTTCGTGAATGACTCAATAGATACCTGTAGTGAAACACATTTCGAAAATGAAGATCTGAGGGTAGTTTTCCAGATTTCACATTATCTGAACCAAACCATCGTAGAGCATGGCAGGTGGTGAAGGTTTTCGACGTCCAGCACGTATTGACACCTCAAAAAGTGGGAGGTCTCGGAGAATGGCAAGATTATTTCGATGAAATCAATGGATTCTAAGCTTCAAAGTAAAGTACATTGCCACTTCTGAAATGTTTGCTCCTGCCATGGGAATAAGTTTTAAAGTATTCCTCTATATCTTTTTATTGTACTTAATATCATATTCAAAAAATCCCCTGAAAAAATAATCATATTTTCTGCAAAAATGTATCTATATATATATATATATATATATGTGTGTGTGTGTGTGTGTGTGTTAATATAAAATAATCACTTGTAAATGATCACCTAATGGAATATAAAAACTAACCAATATTGATTTAGAATGTGCTGATTTCAAATCTCACAAGCCCAAAAATCTTTAAAATGATCAATGTTAATTATACTACCTTGAGAACTTCAAATTTTTTTAAAATGATACTTATAAGTAGGAAATAAAAATATATATATATACATATGTGATAACTCTCATGCACAAGTTTGTTTTATTGTCTTTTCCCATCAAAAACTGAAGGACAGTAACTATGGTTAACGTACAATGACTAAAATAAAATAAAATAAAAGTGTGCTAAAAACTTGTGAATATATTTGATGTCTATGTCATTTTCGGGTGAGGTTTTTCAACAAGACCAAGATACTTGTGGATTTTGGGATTTGGTACATATGATACATTTGAAGTGACTTTTCAATCACATAAATAAAAACACAAACGATTTTGACATGTTTCTACACACACTTGCATATCCATTAAGGTATTTATAAGTATAGAAAGGATTAACTTATTTTCCTAATTTAACTCCCAATCACTGTGGAAAAAACTTCAAACAACGTTCTAAGCCGTTTGATTACATGGAACGAACTCAAAACATGCAAACCACTTTCACATCTATTCCATTAAAAATCTACTACCACCTTTCTTGATCTCACCTTTTCCTTTACTTTATTTTTTGGCTAAGAACTGCCATCACGATCTCCTCAGAACAAGTAGGAAGAATTTCATCAATGCTGCTGAGAGACAGTAAATTTTAGAAACAATGATCTAAGCCTTTGTTGGATGCTCAAAAAGATCCAATCATCGTAATTGCAACTTGTGAACGAAGAAAGCAGAGGGTCCCCATCTCAAATGAGCCAAAGTTGGGCTTTACAGGCGCTTACTCCTATAATCGCGTGCTCTGGGTCCTAGCCCTGCAGCGGCTGACCGTAGGTCAGTGCATGCCCGATTTTCCGTGACCGTGGATCTATAGACCCACCGGCCTACGAGCCAGCCCCCTGCTCGTACAAACCGTCTCTTTTTGGAAGGCTGGGTTTGCCTCCACCTTCGGCCTCGTCACGACTGTTGGATGTTTGTCGTTGCGATGGCTTCCATGCTCATATAGATTTCAAACTAGCGACTCAGCGTTGGCGGAAAATGGCGCGTTGACTAATCCCCTTTACTTCCGAGATTTCGGAACTGTTGTCACCGAGAACTGAAAAGTGTGGTGTCACTCCGTGTCCTTTCTGGAAGCAGACGTCTCCTGACCAATTCGTTTGTGCTTCAATCTTCGGTGGAGGACGTGATGACAGGTAAGCGAGTTTTGATTTTAGTGCACGACAAGGTTTGCACTGAATCATATTCTTTCAAGATGAGTTTGGTCAGTCTTTTTTCATAAGTGTGGGGTCTGTAGATAAAACTTGAGACAGTGGGAATATACGCACGAAGCAATGTTTCAGATAGAAAGTAGAATTGTTGAGATGCCGTCAAGCTTTCCAGGGGACTCTTTCATTTCTTAGCATGGTAATCTTCTTTCTGATGCAATCGCCGAACTGACACTGCAGTTCCATGCACAAACTTTGTCTCTTTGTGTTCTCACTTCAGCTTTGAGTTTCCATGCAGTCGCAAATGCCCTTCAATTGAAATCATAAACTTTTCTTTCTCCAAAATTCTAATCGTAGCTGTTAATCGAAGGAATCGTTGCTATAGGTGAGCGCGATCCGCACGTCCGTGTTGGAGGTGGGAAACGTTGCGATCTTACTTCCTTCAGCCAGGTTCACAGAGCATGAAGTACTCTTTCAAATTACTACTTAAGATTCTTGTGAACAAAATCTGTCACTGAAAGGGTGGGAAACGCGTTGTGAACTTTGAGTGGGTAGAGGTAAACGTTATGACATCTTGAGGGAATATGTCATTTGAATAGGCTCATGAACTAGAGCTTCAATGCGTCTCAATCGTAATAACTCAGTTCTTACTTACAGATTTCACATGTGTGCTCAACAAAATATTCCAGTATTTTGATGATAAGTAATCCCCAGATACATTTCTAAATGAGATTACAACCGCACAAGTAAGAAACAGAAAATGAAGAAAACTTCACATCCAGTCCCACGCCAACAGAACCGCGCATCAATAGACTAAGCGGTTCATGGGCTTTTACGGTCTCATGGACACAGCTCGCAACCTATCAAAACTAACTTCCGTGTGAGTTGCTAATATCATGAGAAATACTACTTCCACATGAAAGCTCAATCTCATTATAATAACTGCGTAGTGGTGCATTATAATCTCCAGTCGTAACAGACATAACAGTTTTTTCAGTGGCTTTCTGTGAGGCAAGCATGGTCACATGAATTGACA